CAATGTGAATAAAAAAAAAAAAAAAAAGACAGATTTAATGTAGTGAATTTCTGAAACTTTAAATGTAATCACTTCAGGGAATAATTTATTCTTTGATACAATGGACTTCCTTTTTTTGTTAACATGTCTTTTAAAACAATATTTTAACATTTATTTCTTTTTCAGTGTTGGGGATCAAACCCAGGTCCTTGCATATGATCAGCTAATGCTCTATTAAATGCCATTAAATTCTTTCCGGAGTTCCACTCTTTTCCTTTAAATGAAAAAATCACTTCAGGGAATAATTTATTCTTTGATACAATGGACTTCCTTTTTTTGTTAACATGTCTTTTAAAACAATATTTTAACATTTATTTCTTTTTCAGTGTTGGGGATCAAACCCAGGTCCTTGCATATGATCAGCTAATGCTCTATTAAATGCCATTAAATTCTTTCCGGAGTTCCACTCTTTTCCTTTAAATGAAAACATGGTGATAATTATTTTTAATGCCTTTACTTGGAAAAAAAAAATTAAAAGTTGAAAATCTTACTTTTATTCCTCATAATGTTTTTTTTCTTATGTTTTAAGATTTTGACGACAATGAGTTCATTTACCCTTGGTTTAGCTTTTAACATCTAATTTGTGGTAGAAACTGGAGAGTAGACAATTGGAGATTATATTTTCAGACAGGTGTTTCTATTGACTGTTGTTAGAAGGCAGACCCATCTGTTTTCAAAACAGAAGTGTATGTGGTAGGTTGAAGTGATTTATAAATTCCAGGATGCCTGGCTGATGTCACACCAGATGGAGCACCTCCCATCTGCTCCAGGGTGGCTAACCACAGACTCGGAGTAGGGTGGCTGCTGGACAGATCTGGCTTAGCTTTTCTTGTGATCTTATCTTTTGGGGCCTGAGCCCTCCTGTTCTTTGATGCAAAAGCGTTGAGCTGCCATGGAAATCGTTTTGAAAATTTCTGATGCACTCTGAATATTTTCAGCGTTCTTTAGTGAAAGGTACAATCCATTAAAAAAAAAAAAAAAAGAACATGCTTGCTTTGCAAAGCTCAGTACACAGGAATATTTTCCATTTTCTTCAGTTCCAAGTTCATTCATTTCTCATTGCCAACTGGGTGAACTTCCAAGTGCTTTTTAAAGATGAGCCAACGAGTTATCAGAACCAGTGCTTCCTCTTCCTTCCCACATTGTTAAAAATAGTTTACGTTGCTTCCCAGGCTGAGCTGGTGGACTTGGCACCAGACATCGGGGGACCTGAGTCATGCTAAAGCTCAGGCCCTGTTGGCAGGCAGACCATGCTTTTCTGGTTTGCCTGTAGCTGGGTGAAAATATGAATGGCTGGAACCACTCTTCACTGGCCTGAACATTCTCAAAAAGGACTGAGAATTGCTGGCCTACCTTGCCTTCTTCCTCAAAAACTCTGGGACCTTTCCAGATGGGACAAACCAGGGAAAGTGGACAAATTACAAACAAAGAGAAGTCAGTGTCCTTGATCTTTAAGATTGCTCATTCGTCTTAAGCGGTAGTTGACTCAATTGACGCATTATAAATCAGGTACTATGAAGGTAGCTTTTTATTTGTAAATAGGGAAGGGAGGAGGGGGTGAAGGGAGAGCAGGGACAAGGGGAAAAAATGAGAACCAAGACCTGTCATTTAAAGGTACAAGATCCCAATGATGAATGCAACTGTACTGTATACCTAAAATGTACCAATAAACTCAGAGAAAAAAAAAAGAAAAAGAAAAAGAAAATAAAAGTGTGATGGTACACATCTATAATCCCAGCATTTGGAAAGCTGAAGCAGAAAGATCTTCATTTGTTTGAAGCCAACCAGGGTTACATAGTGGGTTCAAAGCCAACCTGACCTACATAGTAAGCCCCTGTCTTGAATGAATAACTGAATGAATAACTGAATTAATAAACAAACAATAAACCCACCCACCCAGAAACTACTTTTTCAGAGTCCTCTTGTATATCTATTATGGAGATTTTAGTGTTTATGTGTATGTGAATTTTAAACATGGCTATGGTGATTGCTAACGAAAGTTGAAAAAAGAAATCTGGGAGACAAACACATAAAAAAATATATGTAGAATCTATAGAGAGATCACTTTAGATTGGTCCTTATGGCCGTATGTGTACATACACACACATACACACACACACACACAAACACACACACACACACCAGGTGTGTGTTGCCACATGCAGGATAAATATTCCTCATCCAGAATATTTGAGACCAGAAGTGTTTTGGATTTTTTCAGATTCTGGAATATTCACAAATAGAGAATGAACTATCTTGGGATAGACTCCAAGTTTAAGCACAAAATTCACTAATACTGCATATGGACTTCATTCAAACATCCTGTCGGTAGTTTATACCATATTTTTAGTGCTCCTACACAGTATTACCTCAGTTCACGAACTTAACTTGTTCTGTGATTTTGGAAAAGATGGCCACGTTTGTGTTTGTGTGGGAAAGCTGACCACAGTCATGTCTGTCTGTCACCTGATGCAGAGTTTGCAAACAAAAACAAAATTTTGCCAAATGCCTCTGTTTGCAAATCAAACTGTTGCAAACAAAAGTGCTTGTGACCTGAAGCACCATAGTATATTGGTTTGTGACTTATTTGTCACATGAAGTCCGGTGTAGAATTCTCCACATATGTTGTCATGTAATTGCACACTGAGCTTTGGATTTTGGAGCACTTTAGGTTTTGGATTTTTTGGTTTGGTTAGGAATGCTCAGGTGTATACATTGCTTTTTTTTTTTTTTCCTTTTGAACTCTCTAAGTGGTCCAGACTGACCTTGAACTCTCAGCAGTCCTCCTGGTTTAGCCTCCCAAGTGTTGGGGTTACAGGCATGCACTACCAAGCCTGGCTTATATATTACTTTTTAAAGAAAAGATATCAGGATTTGTTTATTTGCTTTGCTGGGATTGAACCATGGGCCTCAAGCATGCTAGGCAAATGCTTCTGCCTGAGTTCCACCTCTAGCCTCCTTGACATGGTTCAGCTGTCTCCCAGGGAGGTTCAGAAACCATAAGAAATGCCTCTGGCTGTGTTCTTTGGCCAATCCTTGGCAAGCTGGGATCTTGGGGCAGGTGAGCTGTCATACTGTCCACAAACCCAGCACATTTCATTTCTCTTTTGCAGATTCAGAAGTCAAAAACCTCCTCTCGGACGATAACTCTGAAGGCCTTACTTTGTTGGATTTGTTGAGCTTCACCTATCAAGTAGCCCGAGGAATGGAGTTTTTGGCTTCAAAAAATGTAAGTTCAAGGAACAGAGACCTCTTTAGACAGGGCCACAGATTTCTGAATGGGGAGGAGACACTAGGAGGGAGATCTTGGAGCAGTGACTGCTTCTCCTTCACGACCGTCCTGCATTTTCCCTTGAGCAGGGATGGGAGCCTGGCATTGTCAGGTGTCTGCATTGCTCCAGATCTTTTGTGTATTGGTGAGTGAGGTGAGAGTGAGCTCTTGAGCCCTTGAGGTGCAGGCTGGGCAGCTCCAGGTGCCACCAGAGGGCAGCCACTCTTGCAGGTGTGTTGCTATCTTATCACAGGTAGATTGACTTTGAAGTTGTTTCTTGCTTTTCCATGCAGTGTGTCCATCGTGACCTGGCTGCTCGCAATGTCCTCCTGGCACAAGGGAAAATCGTGAAGATCTGTGACTTTGGTCTGGCCCGAGATATCATGCATGATTCAAACTACGTGTCGAAAGGCAGTGTACGTACCTTTATCTTTCTCTGGCTTGTTCACTCTTCCTCTCTTTAACTTCTCAAATTGTGTTGCTTCTTGGCATTTGCTGCCCATCTTTTAACGTGGAGACCACGAGACTTGCGAGTGGGCTTCATGGGGGTCAGTAGGAAAAGCTTAGGCTCTGCACAGATGGCTAGAGCATGCATAATCACTGGGGCTGGGTTTGGGGCCAATTTTTGGTCCATGTCATTCCTTAGTGTCCTTCTCTATAGTAGGGAGGAGTAGCAGTATCTGTCTCCTGAGTTGCTGTGGGGATTAAATAAGGGAATTCGTGTAGAGTGCTTAGAACAGTGCCTAGCAAAGAGGAGCTCTCTGTTAATTGTTAGTCGTTTATTAATTAAGGCGAGTTGTGGGTATGTGTGTACAAGTGATTCCTGAGTTGCTGTGGGGATTAAATAAGGGAATTCGTGGAGTGCTTAGAACAGTGCCTAGCAAAGAGAAGCTCTCTGTTAATTGTTAGTCGTTTATTAATTAAGGCGAGTTGTGGGTATGTGTGTACAAGTGTGCATTTCCAAGGGGTGTCACTTGCTTTTGAGGTTTTATATTTTCATAAGGTAAACATGACCAGTAGAACATTAAGACCATTTGCATCAATGCATCTCAGAGGCTCAGCCTCCTTAAAGACAGCCCTTGTATTGTTCATTGGACTGATCCTCTCCATTCCTCCTGTGTAAGTAGATGAAGGAGGCTATGTCTGCCACCCGAAGGCACAAGTCCAAAGCACTCTAATGCATGGCCTGTGAGGTGGCTCTGGGGCCTTTTTCTGTGCTCTGTGTGGCCATGGTGTTTCCCAGGCACCTTCCACAAATCCCCGAATCTTTAGATGGAGCCGATTTCTCACCTGTCTGCGTAAAGCTATGACTCTCTCCAGCAACCTTGGAGGACAGAAGGGTGCTGATGAAGCTACCTCATGGGTCTGCTTCACTTTAGTGTTTCCGCCAAAATGTAGACCAGCTTCAAAAAAAAAAAAAAAAGAAAAAGAAAAAGAAAAAGAGGTTCTAGTAGTAGGAAATTGCTACTTGCCATTATTCTTAGCTGAGGGAGGACCCTTCCCATTTCCACTACTGCAGGTCATCCTTGTATAGGCTGGAAACTAATCTCTTTCTTCCTTCCCTGTAGACCTTCTTACCTGTGAAGTGGATGGCTCCTGAGAGCATCTTCGACAACCTCTACACCACCCTGAGTGACGTCTGGTCTTACGGAATTCTGCTCTGGGAGATCTTTTCTCTTGGTATGGGCCTGGCCTTCCTGCTTCTTTGGGCAGACCTGGAACAGACTGGAAGGGCTGTGTTAGTCCAGCTCAGGATGTGAGCTCTGTCGAGCTGTGTGCTGTGTGATCAGGCAAGCTGCGGCTGCTTTACCCCACCCATTGGCCTTTGCTGTGTCTGCTGAAGCCTGGGCAGACTGAGAGTGGGTGTTGGAGACTGCATTCCCATCCCAGGCCTCTGTGCATCTCCTCTGGGCCATGCCTGAGTGGTTCCCCAAGGAATCACCTGGCTGACTTTTCATTTTGGCCTTTGGGTTAAATTATTCCTCACTTGGTGAGCATGGATGGTGGCAGCATGGCGAGGGAAAGGGCTGCAACTCCCCTTCCTGGTCATCAATTCTGGAGGAGAGAAAACTCTTAGGGGAGGCCCTTAGAGAAGGGTGAGGTAGGACCCTGACCTTCACGGTTCCAGGAGGGAGAGAAGATTTACACTCTTAGAAGTAAACCATGTGGTGCTGACTTAAAATTGCAGTGTAAGTCCAGAGGCAGGAGAAAGGACTCCTGATGAGCTTTGGAAGTTGTCAAAGAGGAAATTCAACATGACCTGCCTTTGGCTATAAAATTGTGAATCATTTTGTGAATGCATCTGTTATCTTGATATGAAAGCAAAATATGAGTACCTTCCCTAGTCCCCTCTGTCTGTCTTACTTCTCTCTCCCTGGTGGATCACCATGCATCATCCCAGTCTGTGGCTTATCAGGGCTCATATTTCTTACAAACAGAATTTCTAGACAATTCAAACCCCAACTGACTTTGGCCCTAATCCCTTGAACATTACTGACAAGAATGACTTTCCTGCCCTCAATTCAAAATTCCTTTTTGTTGTTACAGCTTGCTTGTATATGTAAATCCAATAGTCAGAAACACTGAAAAACATTTCAGTGCTTCTTTCTAAAATGCAAAACTTTTACATCAAATGCTTAGACTTGACCAACCTAGAGTGCTGGTTAAATTTAAGATTTGAGCAGTCCTTTGAGGTCAACGCAAGGATAATAATTTCTTTGAAAGAACCAAGACATCAGGACTTCTGGGTTACAGCCATCCCCTCACATGCTCTGCCACCCTGAATGTACCAGCAGCGCATGGTGCCTTTATCATGCCACTTGTCTTCTTTGTTCTTAGGTGGCACACCCTACCCTGGCATGATGGTGGATTCTACTTTTTACAACAAGATCAAGAGTGGGTACCGGATGGCCAAGCCTGACCATGCCACCAGTGAAGTGTGAGCTTCCTTCCCGCCCATGGGCCCATGTCCCTGTCCTGTGGGTCTGTGGGATGGGATACCTGTGTAGCTCCTTGTGCCCACTCTGAGCTCTGTGCCTTTCTAGCTATGACATCATGATGCAGTGCTGGAACAGCGAGCCGGAGAAGAGACCCTCCTTTTACCACCTGAGTGAGATAGTGGAGCACCTGCTGCCAGGACAATATAAAAAGGTTTGTCTAGGCTTCTTACATTGGTTGGAAAAGGGAAGAAAGCTGGTAGTTATACCAAGGAGCAGTGTTATTCAGCATGTTTGAAAGGAGCACTTGCAAAGCAGGATACAGACTGTGCGATCCTGTGGCTGGGGCTCACAGTATGCTCCATGCCTCCCTGGTAACAACAGTGAATGAAAAACCTCTCCTTCCTGCAGGGCTCCCTTTTCATCTTAGGTGTGGGATACCTGTAAGCACTTTTGAGTGTCCGCTGTGCACTTAGAAGTCTTAGGACATCCACAGTGATTACGTCGCTCATTTGAATGCATTTAAAGCCTTGTGAAATTGGCTTTTACCTGCTGTCCAGAAGGGACAGCCTCAGCTGTTATCTGTGGCTCCAACTGGTTTTCCATGGCATAGGAAACATTGTTCAAAGGAACAAATATAATTTCACAGCGTCAGGCAGGAGATGGAAATGAATGAAACTACTTTCTGCTGAAGCCTTGGGAAGGAAACCAAGGGGAACTTGTATAAAAAAATCCCGTCTCTTACATTCGGATTAGTCACTGTGTGGGCTTTTCATCCTACTTCTTCCCTTCTTCTCCAGGAGAGAAGTGGCAGCGGCATCAGGAGGTTGCACTGGAACCTCCTGGAAATTGAGCTAAAAGTTAAATACTATAGTTTGATCATCCTTTGTGATGATCTCAGTGCCCCCCTGTGACTCTCATAAGTGCAGCAAGGAGGAGAAGAAAGAAATTAACCTTAGGTTGGTCTGCAATGCTGTGACTGGTAGAGATAGGTTGGTGGGCAGAGATTGAAACTGTTGTTGAATAGAGTTTTTATATCAAAGGTTGGCCTTTCCTGACATTTAGGAATCAGAAACAGGTTGGGAATTGTGTTCTTACTGAAGTCTTTGCCCCTTCCTATGGGGGCCTGTGAGAGCCCTAGAGACTCCATATGATGGGTCCAGAGGGCTCAATGCTCGTCCAGGGAGTGCGGGGGTGGGGGGACAGGCACATGGTTAAAGCTACTGGCTTGAAAAAGGGCCTCTTGGTATCTGAAGACCAACTGGCAGATCTCTGACACTGGTGGTCCTTTTTCATCCCCACCTCAGTGGAAGGTTGACATAGGACTCTTTCAGTTGTCTGAACCCTAGCTGTCTATGAGATAGTTTGGAAACACATGCAGTTAAGTCATCATGATTTCTGTTTTGAGTTTTTTTGTGTTTGTTTTTTTAAGACAGGATCTTTCTATGTAATGCAGACTGGCCTTGAGCTCATTCTGCAGCCCAGACTAACCTTGAACTTGTAGTGATCCTCCTGCCTTAGCTTTCTGAGTGCTGAGATTATAGGCATGCACCACCATGCCTGTCTTCTTCATGATTTCTGAATGTCTCTGCTTATTTTTATAGCCTAGTCAATAACATTTGATTAAATATGTCAAATGAATGCTTACAGAGTTATGAGAAGATCCACCTGGACTTCCTGAAGAGTGACCATCCTGCTGTGGCACGGATGCGTGTGGACTCAGACAACACGTATATTGGTGTCATCTACAAAAATGAGGAAGACAAGCTGAAAGACTGGGAGGGTGGCCTGGATGAGCAGAGACTGAGTGCTGACAGTGGCTATATCATCCCACTGCCTGACATCGACCCTGTGCCTGAGGAAGAAGACTTGGGCAAGAGGAACAGGCACAGGTAGATATGGCGGCCATGTCGGCTGCCCACCTTCCCCCCAACCAGCATCCTGAAGGGGGGACCCCACTCTGGTTACCAGAGGAGGCTTTCCTGGGTGGTGAACTGTTCTATGGGAGCCTCTACAGCTGTGAAAGCATCTCTTAGATGAGTCTACTATGCCCTGACTCCTCGGGCTGTGGTGGGGTGGGAGGATCATGTTTCCTTGGTAGAGAACCTTTGACTGGAGTCATTTGAAAATAGTCCCTTGGCTGAGGAAAAAGTTGGGAGAAAGGTGGGGGGTCTTGCTCAAGGTCCATGTTGTGTGTATGTGTGTGAGTCTTTGTTCAGGGCACAATATGTCCTGATTGACTTCATTGGGTCACTGAGACTGTGCCTGGCATGAGGAGGGCTGGGTCTGTGTGTGTATGTGGGAGTGTGGACCCAGAGCCAGAGGCCTTGGACTTATGCAGGCAGTCGTCAGCTGGGAAGTCATTGGCCCTCTCCTAGGGCTCAGCTGTTGGCTTTGGTGGATGGTGGAGGGATGAGAAAGGGTCTCACTGTAAGTGGGCTTGGCATTTCCTGGTCTGAGCCCCTGGAGAGCCAGGTTCTGGGCTGCCAAATGGACACTGTGGATCAGAAACCAGTTGTAAGCCAGCTTGTCAGCTCTGGGACACTCTATGACATTGACAAGCAGAAAGGTGATCTGGCATAGTCTCAGTGGAAGTTAGCTTCTTCTTTCCCCACATTCCTGCCTATTGCCTGTGAGACAGACCAGCAGAGAGATGAATATGCCAGGCCAAGAGGCACAGAGCCAGGGGCCTGACCTACCTGACAGCAGTTCCCAAGGAGGGAGCCAACAGTCCTTAACCACAGTATCTGTGGTAGGACCATAGATAGAGTACCCAAGAATTGACTCAGGACCAATACCCAAGGATTAACTCAGATCAATACCCAAGGATTAACTGCATAAAAAAATGAACAATTAGCTGGGCATGATGGTCCATGCCTGTGATGCTGGCACTCAGGACACTAAAGCAGGAAGAGTGTTCAAGGCCAGCCTGGGGTATATGATGAGTTCAAGGTCAACCTGGACTCCACAGCAAGACTGTTTCAAAAGAACCCGAAGCAACAATAATAAGCCTCTCCTCTATTTTCTGATATCATCTAATATCCAGGCTTTATGCAAATTTAGATATGGGTTTGAATAATAATAAGTACATTTATCGAGCACTTATTATGTGTTACAGGGCATTTATGATGTGCTTTATGGTTGTTACCTTATTTCATCATCCCGACAGGTGTATTGTTAAGCATCATCATCATACTATTTCATACTCAAAGAAATAAATCAAAGTCAAAATGATTCCTTGAATTCTAGCAGCTAAATTATCATTCATTTGTTTTTGTACATAATGGCAGAATTCCTCTAGATGGTACAAAATACCACGGTGCCCAAAAGTTATTTTACAACAATACTTCCCAAAATGATATATTGTTATTTTTAAAATATTTTAATATATGTCAATCTGTGTCATTTATACTTCTTTAGTTTAGTTCATTACTAAGCAGGTTTTATTATCTGTTCCCTTTTTGTAAGACTCTTATTGGTTTATGTCTTGTACTACTTTGAAAGTAATAATACACAACATATCAACTATTGTTATTCTCTTATTATTTGATTGTAAAATTTTGTGTTTTTCATAGAATAAAACTAAGCAACTACTTTGAAAGTAATAATACACAGCATATCAACTATTGTTATTCTCTTATTATTTGATTGTAAAATTTTGTGTTTTTCATAGAATAAAAAAGTAAAAATAAAAAACCCTAGAAATAAATCAAAGTCAAGGGAGTTTAGTAACGTGTGAAGTCCATTCTAGACCTGAGTCTGTTTTACCCAAGAACTCCCCCTAACCCTCAATAAAGAATAAAGAGCCTTCATCTATCTGGGCCTTCCAGGCGCTGAGAACACAGTCTGGCTGTTCAGAAGATTCTCGGGAGAACAAGGGGCTGGTGGGGCTGCAGTGTGCAGTTGATTTCTTTTTTGTTTTCTTTTTTTGCATTTCCTTCTCTGCGCCTTTTAATCAGCAGGCATTGCTGATTTTCTCTTCCATGAGTAGGAATAGTAGAGATTCTTACAGCTTGCTAGAAACATGGATGAAAAACTTGGCAGAAAGACAGGAAAGCTGAGGTGTGTGCACCTGGAATTGTCCAGAGAGCCCGTGCAGTGAGGCTGACGAGCAGCTGTCGGTCTCAGTGACAGACCTGCCACCTGGACAGCCCAAGGCTGATTGCCAAGCCATCTGGTGGTAAAAGTTTACCTGCCGTGGGAGGCCACCTGAGAATGCACCATGGCATAGCTGGCTTATACATAGTTCTTAACTTTCCTTCTCTCTCCTTGGCCAGCTCACAGACCTCTGAAGAAAGTGCCATTGAGACAGGTTCCAGCAGTTCCACCTTCATCAAGAGAGAGGACGAGACCATTGAGGACATCGACATGATGGACGACATTGGCATAGACTCCTCGGACCTGGTGGAGGACAGCTTTCTGTAACTGGCAGATCCAGCAGGCACCTTCCACTCCTGGAGCCACCTGTGGGTCCCTTTGAGAAAACCACTTTAATGTAATGCAAAGGTCGAGAAGAGGACTTGGATGATGGGTGAAGAGGACTTCCTGGATGTGACTGGGGAGCCTTTTGAATCTGAATGCGTGGGATTTTTGAAATAAACTTTTTCGGTATTGCCTCTTGCAATGCTTCAGTAGCATCTCAGCGGCCTGTGAAGTTTGGAAATACACGGACAGAGAATAACAGGCAGCAGAAAACGAGCCTTGTGTTTCAAGGGCATTGGTGAGATTTCCACATACACAATTTGTACTGCAACAAAACCCCAGCATTGTAATTATGTAAATAATTCTAACCAAGGATGTGTTTAGATTTGTATTAACTGTCTTCTCTGGACTTCTGAAGAGACCACTCAGTCCATCCATGTACTTCTCTCTTGGAACCTGGTATCAGCTGCTGTTGAATTTTCTTATGAAGTACATGCAGAACCACTTTTGAACCTTAAAAGGTACTGGTACTATCACATTTTACTTTTTTCATAGTGTTAAAGAGATAAAAGATAACAACCAACTTTGTTTAATAGATTTGGGTCCTTTAGCAGCCCAACAACTCATTTGTATATTGTAACCTATGTTTATAATAATACTACTGTTATCAGTAATGCTAAATGTGTAATATGTAACATGATTTCCCTACAGAGAAAGCACAATTTAAAGAAAAAAAACCCTTTACTAAGTAGGTGACAAGTTTGACAGTTTTTGACATTTACATTAAATAACATATGTTTCTTTATAAAAAACATGATAATAGCTTTAGTGTATTAAATTTAATAAACATAGAGAGCAAAGTATAAGTAGTATTATCTAGGAAGTCAAAGTTTTTAATTATGTACTGAATAGGTTCCCTAATCCATTCTACTAAAACCAGTTAATAACCTCTGAAGTAATGGGATTAGAAACAAACAAAACCCCCAAATCCTAAATGTTCTCAATAGAAAGGCAAAATCCTGTGGCCAACATGACTTCTGCTGTGACCCAGTAGAAATCACGATAATCACCAAAAAGATTGGATTCACTGAGGTTTCTTTCATGACTAATGCTAACTTTGGTGGATGTACGAACCTTAAGAGTCAGAAGGATGCCCTAACTTCAGCTCCTTTCTTTCATCTCCTAGCCTAAAAGGAAGGAGTTTGCAACCCTGAGATCATAAAGGCGTCTTTTCATGAAACCTTGTGTATATCAGCCTAGCTCTTCAGTTCCCAGATGGAACTGGCAATGGGAACCACTAGATTCTGCAGAATCCAGAAACTATGCATTATGAAGTCTGACAGAGGCAGGAAACTGCATTTTTGTAAACACTGTGTCCATTCTGATCAGCCAATTTTCAGAAATGCTGGCTTAGATTACAGGAGGCTGCCATGGTGGTGGTATGTGAACAATTTGAAAATTGGATCTGAGCTGGAAGTCAACCATGCAGGAAGCCAACTATTAAAGTCCTTGGCTTCAGGTCAGTGATATTTAATATATATATGGCAATTGCTACCCTTCATTTTACTTTGCATTCTTAGCTGAGGCTGAGAAAGCTAGATTTTTGTTTTTTGGCACATCTCCCAAAATTTAAGGCAAAGTAAAAGTGCTGCTTCCCACTGCATGGGGGACTTGAACTTGTCCCCCTCCAAGGAAAAATGTGTAAAAATTACCAAATTCCATGTACCAAATCTGAATAGCCAGGTCAATATTTTGGAGAGAAAGATTGAAAAGTTTTCCTGGTATTTTGGGTGCAGGTGGGAGGATGGATTGTCACATCCAGCCGAACTGTCAAACTAGTTAGTGTGGGTTCATTGGCATTCTTTGCAGGGTGCTTAATTGCCGACACTATATGAATGAAACATGGGCCGTGATTACAGCAATCACGAATGTGCTTCCGGCAGGTGATGCTTGGGAAGTTGGAGAAGCAATAACAAGGTACTTGACTACCTACTGGTGGAATCTCAATGCAAGCCCCAACTTTCTTGTCCTCCTTTTCCATAGTAAGTGTAAAGGCTGAGCCAGATTGGCCAATTAAAAATGAAAGCCTGACTTGATTCTGTAGAGCCAATTAGACTTGAAATACATTTGTGTTTCTAGAATCATAGCTCAAGCATTCTGTTTATCACTCACCCTCCCTGTACAGCCTTATTTTGTTGGTGCATTGACTTCTGATACTACTTTGAGTCTTGCATGACATTATGAGACTGTATGAAGATTCTCACACTGGTGGTTTCCAGTCCGTACCAGTGCTCCCACCTGAAATGATGAGGGACTGCAGTTTTAAAATGGTGTTTTCAGCGTTTTCCAGATTTGTTTTCTTTCTTGGCCTCCTGACAAGTCCGCAGAAGAAAATTTGCTAATCCTTCCCACTTTCTATTTCTATGATGACAATCAAAGCTGGCCTGAGAAACACAATTTGTGTTTTTTTTTAAATGATCAATGATATTCTTAAAATGTGGTCTGCCAATCTGTACAAAATGGTCCTATTTTTGTGAAGAGGGACGTAAGATAAAATGATGTTATACATCAATATGTATATATGTATTTCTATATAGACTTGGAGAATACTGCCAAAACCTTTATGACAAGCTGTATCACTGCCTTTGTTTATATTTTTTTTAACTGTGATATTCCCCACAGGCACATTAACTGTTGCACTTTTGAATGTCCAAAATTTATATTTTAAAATAATAAAGAGAAAAATACTTACATGTTCCCAAAACGGTGGTGTGGTAAATGTGTGAGAGGAACTAACTGGATGAGGTGGGGTCTACCCATATGAAATGTATTATAAATGCCCCGTTCATGTTTTTATTTTAAAACGTGTAAATGAAGATCTTTATAGTTCAATAAATGATGTATATCTATATATTTAATTTAAAGTTATGCTGAGGGTCCAGCCTTTTTTTGTTTTTTAGTTTAACTATAAAGATTAAAGCAATCCTGTTCAACTTGTTTTCTTAGCAATATTTCAGTGGGCTTCTATATTATACTTCAGATGAACTAGTAAAAAAACTTAGGATTCAAGATGTTATTTGAACTAGTTAGTTTTCAGACACAGCATTTGATGTAAACATGATTGGCACTTGGCTCATCTTTGATTCTGTCTTTCTGTTTGTTTGTTCTTATTTTTTGGTGTTTCCCTCTCCTGCATAAGGAACACAAGCCTCCGTTTACCCTGCACGACATTTGAATAGTGCAGGAGTACACAAAGTGTAATGGCGATGCCTTTATTAATACATGTTTTTCCCTGTCCTTGTCTTGTTTCATAGAGACAAAACTACATGATTTGGTATGATTGTTTTGTATTCTTTTCATCTTTTCTTCTATGCATCTGTGTATATCTGTGCATTTTTGTTTCATATTTTGCCTAAACAAGATTTCATTCTACAAAATGTTTTGTAATGTGTATTTTAAAAAAATAGACTATTAATTAAAAGTTTTAGGTTCACAACAAAATATGAGATGTGATTTAAAAATACAGTAAATGTTTAAATTTTTTAAAAAGTCTATTACAGTTAAAGCCACATTGCCATTAACCTCCCTCAAAATATTTCCCTTTTCTTGAACACTATCATCCCACTGCTCTTGCTACTTTCTGAAGCAGTTCTGGAAGTCCTCTTTCATAAGTGTCTTTATTTGCATTGTCACGACTGCCTCAATGTCCTGAATTGATTAAAAATGTTTACCTTTCATTTCCAAACCTTTGGTTTGGAGGAAGAACCAGAGATTGTGCAATGCCAAATCTGATGAATAAAGTGGATGAAGATGAACCATAATGTTTTTATTTGTTAGAAATTGCCATAAATGCTGTAGTCATAAAATATAGTGAATGTGTAAATTTTGAAAAATTATTAAACTACAAGATACACTGTCATTAGTCCTGCTCAGAATATGCAAAATACTCCCATATACACTTATTCAATGGATTTTTGCAATGTGGCTTTTACTGTACCAAGTCCTTTAAAAATTTAAACGTTTATTCTATCTTTAAATTTCCCTCTGTAGAGTAGAAGGCAGATGTTCTCCATATGCCCCCTGCCGTACCTGCCTGGCCTCTTCTCTCCTCAGTGTTCCCTAGCAGAATGGTACACGTTTACACTGCTGAATCTGTACTGATACATCACCCACAGTCCATATAGCTTTTTCTTTTTACTGCTACAGTTTGGAGATCTCTGTGAGAAGTATATAAAGGTAGATCTCCATTTTTAAAAAAATATCAGCTTTATGATACCCCAAAATATAAATGTATCATAATTTGTGTTATTACATTCCTGTGAAATAGATTCATAGTTTCTAAATCTTTGCCATGAAAAATGACTCCATGTACCTCCTTGCAATACCTCCTTGTGCATGTATGGTAATATTTTGTTTCAATAGATTCCCACAAGTAAGGTTGGTAGGCCCAAAGGTGTGCAGAAATAAATTGGTGTTGAGCTCAAGCCTTCACGTCTGACTACACAGTAAATTTCTGTCTGCATAGGAATCACTGGCTTTGCAGATTGTCTGCAGTTCCCTGCTGTCCTGTACCCTGTGTTGCTCAGGAATCATAATCTTCAAAACAGGATTGGAAGAGATGTGTTGGCTTAAGTATGGGAGTATGTGGGCTTTGTGTTCTGAAGCAGCTGGAGCCAATGACTAGGATATTAAAAAAAAAGTGATGCAGATCACGTCATTTTCAACTCACAGTTAATAGAAATTATGTTGTTAATTGGAAGATATTACCCTATTTCAATATAACTCCTTATTCTCCAGACCCCCAAATCCTACCATCAAAGTATATCTCCTAGGAACTCAGCTGCGGGGTGGTTATTGGCTCCATGGGAAGAAGACAGGTCACCAGGAGCAGTAATCCTGCTGATAAACAGGAGCTGCCTACTGTAGTATCAACACGGGGTGCTAGGCTTGTCTGGGGAGATAATTTTGTCCTCTTTTAAAAGATGTATAATTCTAGGGCTGGGGATTTAGCTCAGTGGTTCTGCTGCCTGCCTCACAAGCATAAGGACCCGAGTTCAATCCCCGATACCAAAACCAAAACCAAAATTTAAAAAAACAAAAATGTATAATTCTACTTCTTAATACAGTACAGATAGCTCTGCCTACTTTATTTAGTCATGATAAAATAAAAGTGACTCATTATTGGAGAGTTTTAAAACTTTTTGAAAGATCTCACACTTTAGAATCTTAAAACAGGCTTTTAGTTGTTGCTGTTAATTCTTGTAGTGGCAATAAGTATAGCCAAGGAAACCCAGGTTCCACAAGACAAGTGACTTCTAAAAACCTTATAGCCAAGTAATGTTAGGATAGGATTAGAAATTCCAAATATACTAATCCTACTGTCATTTATACTACAACAAACCATAGGAAAAGACTGGGAAATGCCAGTGTTAAGTAGCTCACTATACTTCTTTGATATTTCCAAATACAAGTGATTGACTCATCAGGCTGTAGAAGTATTCTACACATTTGTAATCAGAACAATTTCTTTTCAGGCTATAACACAACAGTTCTAATAATGGGTATTATCATTTGAATAGTGATATGCTTCGTGAAATGCAGCTCAGGAAAATGGCCTAGAATATCTGAATCCATCATAAAATAGGCATTTTTCCCTAAGATAACAGCAATGATGCTTTATTATTTCTGACTCCAAATACGTGTAAGGATGAAATCTAATCGCATTGCTACAGCTGGATTGATAGACTGTATTTATAACAGGCACGGTTCTTTTACCCCTTTAATTAGGAAGTATGTGAAAATACATATGTGGCCTTCATTAGCAGCTGATAGCATTGTTCCACCTGCTGAAGGAATAGCACCTATGTCCGAAAGAATAATGAATGTAATCTCCAAAATATATTCATACATGGGTAATGTTTCTACCACCCACATCTTAGTTTACATATATAGCGATGGAGACATCGAGGACACAGGGTCTCACATGGCAGGGGGAACACATTTGCTCCCTGTTTCTGGTTTATAGGCTAATTGGAATTTTAAAAAGACTTGCCACATTATCCTGGCAGATGGTATTTTGCTTTATCATTATTCATGGGTATTAATGACTTCCCTCTGGAGCATGTGTATCCTGTCTATTTTGAATTTCATTACATTTCATGCTGACTGCTCCAAACAGAATCAGATCCAGTATTTTCTGTGCGATGCTTGAGCTGCAGATTATTTGGTTGGTCAAAGTTTTGATTGAGAACTAAATATCTCTTTGAAATAAAGAAAATCTCTTTCTTCTCTGTCCTGAGTATTCTATCAAATTTCCCATTTTGTCAGCTCACTGTCCCACAGGGCTGCGTGTAGGATCAGGTGTGTACAATGACATTTCCAGGGTGGATGCATCTTTCATTATCCTGAGTTGATTAGACACCTTTTCTTTCTTCCTGAAAAGGCTGGGGTTTGGCTTCCTAAATGAAGAAAATGCATGAGAACAGATGCAAAGATCTGGCTGCAGAAATTCATTTTTTAATTAATTCCTTCCACAGATATTTATTATAGAATGGGTTCCTATTTGTTGAGGTGATGTTTAAAATGCTTCAACATTAATGAGAAAGTGGCCGAATTCAGTCCAGCCAGCTAATTCCCTGAAGGGACCATCACATCACAAAGAATAGCAGGGAAGAGCAGAAAATTGTGGAAGGCAAAGACCACTGTCCTTCCTTGGGGTGACAAAAAGCCAGAGGAGCAGGATACAGTGTGCAGCTTCTTGAAGGCTTCTGATAAAAATGGAGCTTTCCTGCTATCCAAGGACACAAAATGTGGTCAGTGCATTTGAGAGCAGGAAGCAAGGGCTAGGGCAGCCTGTGTCCGCAGTCCCTGTCCTTGCCAGGATTCCAGACACTTCCATGGATATCTTCATATGTGCCCTTCCAAATTTTTATTCCTCCATCCTTCATCTTTATTGAGCAAGGCACTGTTAGGCCTTCAGATCCAGCAACTTAGAACAGAAAATCCCCTTACATCGTGGAAATAGTGCCTCTTCAGAGAAGAGGGAAGATCTGTTTGAGGTATACCTCCTCAGGGACAATGCCTGGCCTGATTTCCTTGTGGCCCATTAGAGAAGATCGGATTTTTTTTTTAGTACAGTAGTCTTTCACTATGCATGGGGGGGGATCAGTTCCAGATGCCCCTGCAGATACCAAAATCTGTAGCAACAAATAAAAACTGGGAAAATACCACTTATAGTTCCCTTATATAAGATGGCATATTTGCATATGACTTATGAATATCCTTCTGTATACTCTTGTCTCTAGATTACGTAAAATACCTATTACAGTGGAAATTCTACACAGAATGATTATACTGTATTAATTAAGAAATAATGAGAAAAAAGTCTGTACATGTTGAACAAATGCAATTATTGTAGGCTTCTACAACAGAAAAGACAAAGAAGACAGAGGTAAAAAAAGGCTAAGAGTGTGCAGGAAGAGGCTGAGGGTCTGTGAGAGGGTGGGAGGTGGCCACAGGACACGCCTGCACATCATGGCATTTCAATGAATTCATTGCAGTACTCACCTTGTGGCAACTTTAAATTTTGATTTTTGGAATGTTTTGGAATTTTTTTTTCTTTGGTACTGGGGATCAAACTCAGGTCCTTGTAAGGCAGGCGGTGGAAACACTGAGCTAAATCCCCAGCCCTGTTTTGGAAATTTTTATCAAATATTTTTCTTATGTAGTTGGTTGAATTTGTGGATGCAGAAACCACTGATACAGAAGGCTGACTGTATTTTATAGTTTGTTAGTGCACTTACAAACACTGTATATAACACACACATATACTTTATAAATAGTTCATTTTTGGTAAATAAATGCATGAAAAATGTTCAACATTGCTGGTCATTAGAGAAATGAAGATTATAACAGC